GGGGGGCTCCCCTGCTGTGTCCTGGTTCTGAGGCGGAGGTGGTGTTCCTCTTCCTTTCCTAGGACCTGTCCTCCATTCCAGCCTTCTGTCCAGGAGGAATCCCCAAATGTCCTCCATTTTGAGCATGACCATGGCGACCAGAGGTGGTGGTCCTCCTCCTTTTCCTGGATCTGTCCTCCATTCCGGCCTTCTGCCCAGGAGGAATTCCCCAAATGTCCTCCATTTTGAGCATGACTAACAAGCATGGGTTTATATTTCTAGGAGTGTAGGATGACCAGCAATGGGCCTCCTCCTACTCCTCCTCCTTTTCTAGGACCTGTCCTACATTTCTCTATTTCTGCCATCTGCTCAGGTAGAATTTCTGCCATCTGCCCAGGTGAAAATGTCCTCCATTTTAAGCATGGATTTATATTTCTAGGAGTGTTTTTAGCCTTTATACCTTGCCATGCGTCCTACCTTTTCCCTCAAATGTCCTTCATTTTGAGGTGCTTTTGTCCTTCTTTGCAGTTATTAGGACCTATCTAGTCACCCTGGATGGGGACCTCTCATCCCCATCTTTCTGGAGGAGGGCTGTATGCAGTATAGTAGAGCTTTGTGGAGGAGGGTACACTGGGGGTCCAGGTTATCCCGAAATAGGGGAGGGAGGAGAATCTTCCCAAAAGGCTGCATCTGCACTGCAAAAATAATCCAGTTTATAATAATAATAATAATAATAATAATAAATTTTTATTTATAGCCCACCCCTCTGCACGGCAATCGGGGCGGGTTACAACATTTAGTTTGAGACTGCTTTAACTGCCCTGGCTCAATGCTAGGGAATTCTGGGGACTGTAGTTTGCTGTGGCACCAGAACTCTCTGACAGAGAAGACCAAACATCTCACAAAACTAAAAATCATAAAATTCCGTAGCATTGAGCCAGGGCAGCTAAAGCGGTGTCAAACTGCATTAATTCTGCAGTAGGGATGCAGCCATCGTAACTCACCTTCCTTTTTTCTGCTACAGATTCCTTCTTTCTACTAAAAAGTAGAATTTCATCTGCTAGGATGACTTACTAAGGCTGCAACCATGTTGCAGAAATAATCCAGTTTGACAATATGAGAAGGCTAAATATCTCACAAACGTACCAGTCCCAGAATCCTATCGCATTGAGCCATGGCAGTGAAACTGGTCTCAAACTGCATTGATTCTGCAGTGCAGATGAGCCTTAGGGCTTCATATCTGAGATGCATTTACGGTAGCTGTTGTGACGGTTTGGGTGAGTCCAGATTACAGCAGGAGGTAGAATGTCCTGTCCTCAGTTTTTCTTTTATTTATTTATTTACTTATTTAGGGGATTTATATGCCACCTTTCTCCCAAAATGGGATTCAGTGGGACTCAATATCTAGGCTATATTTCTCTTTGTAGGAGTTGCTTCATTGAGCTAAAGGTGGGTTTACCTCCTGGAGTTGAAAAATGGGGCAGGGGCGATTGCAGCAACTGTGTTTATTTTGTGTGCCAGAGAAAATCCTCTATAGCATTGTGAATCCAATAACATTAAAAATCACCAAACAGCGATACCTTTATTGACCAACCAAAATTCATAATCTACATGTTACAAGCTTTCAAAGCTCTACTAGCTTCTTCATCAGGCAAAGGATTTAAAAACCATACAGGAAAAAAAAAGTTGAAGATGATATTCATAAGCCTGCATTTTGCTGTTTCTGTTTTCAATTCAGATGGTATGGAGGGACATTACTTTCAGACTGGCACCTCCTCCTTCTGGCCATGTGGCAACTGGGAGATTCTGAAAGTCCAGGAAATTTAACATCCATTTGCAACAGAAAGATACTTCATTTGCAATCCAATATACTTCCATCCTTTGTGAGGCCACAGGACCCTTTGTTAGGCAGAGGATACTGGATTTCTCAAGAAGCCTTCATGCTTTTACATCAGGAAAATCTTAGGTCGCGTTGAGGTAAAACAGCATTTTGACAGAGGCTGCTGCCACACTGAACAATTAATGTGCAGTTTGACACTGCTTTAACTGTCATGGATACATCCTATGGAATCCTGGGATCTTTACTTTGTTGTGGCACCAGAACACTCTGGCAGAGAAGGTTTGATATCTCTCAGAACTACAAACCCCAAGATTTCCATCACATTAAACCATGGCAGTTAAAGCGGTGTCAAACTGCATTGATTCTGCAGTGTAGGTGCAGCCAAGGTTGCTGCTGCTGAGCTACTAGCGGTGGTCAGTGGTCTCCTCTTCCCTGCCTTCAGTGCAAATTCTTGGTCTGTTTTCAAGGAAGTAGAGGGATGGGATTCTATGGGGATAAGGGGTTTTGATACAAGGGAAAGTCATGCAACATTCTTGAGATTAGGTTTAGTGGGGGCTGGGTGCCTGAGTAGGTGGGAGCACTCTGTTGTTTAAAGCACTTTGAACCCTATGGTAGGGGTGGGGACTCAATACATTACTTCCACAGTGAGGGGAAATTTTTCATTCATTCTC